GCTCATGGGTTAGCAGATCAAGGTCTTACCCCTTTGCTCTCAGGAGCATCATGTAATTAATTGCCCTAATAATTTCATCCCTTAAAGACTGGTAAAAGGACTTCCTCAGTGACATGATTTTTGAAGTTATTCAAATATTTACTTTATTTCTACATATATGATCTGATTTCTAGCAGTGAAAGCCACTGAGGAAGAAGAGCTCTAGCTCTAGTCTTTTGGGAAGAGGTAATTTTTCTTTTGTTGGGGGGGGGAAAAAAAGAAAAAAAAGGTGTAGTCCTCTAAAGGGATTTATTCATTCTGTATTTGTGGAGTTTGGAGTTAGACTACACAGATTGTTGTTGTTGTTGTTCTTTTTAAATATTATTAACAACTGAAACTGACTGATGAGCTTTCTTTTGCTCAATTTGATGATAGACAAGTGCTCTCCTGCCATGTAAAAATGTAATTTTTTTCCCCCTGCTTTGCATTAGTGGTAGTTCTGCTACAATAGCATAAACTATATATTGGTTTCACAAGACTTTACTGTCATGTTCAGCTCTTTGCTTTTCATCCATTGTGTTCTGCTTGTATCTTTTTTTTGTGACTGTGTTTCCTGAGGAAGGCTGAGTGTAGGTGGTCCAAATACTATATCTGATCAGATGCTGTTTACTTAGAGCATCTGATTAATGAGCACATGACTGAGATTAATACCATAATAAGTGTGTTGGGTAGGCATAAATCGATTCAGACTATTATCTTTGTCTGTTGTAAAGATTTGTGCTTAATGACTGAGCTGAATGAAACTTACAATAGAAATCTCAGACTTAAAAAAAGAATGGTCTATAATTTTTGTCTCCTCCAGTAGTCATTCCTCCACTTTTTAAAACTACAGTAATTTGAAGGGAACTAATTATATGCCTTTAATAAAAGCATTCTGTGAGTGTTTGAGAAGTCCCAAAAGGCACTGACTACGTTTCTCTGAAATGTGGCTTTCCTCTTTTTAAATAGAATTTTCTCCCTTGTTTGCTTCTTTGTTTACCTGATAATAAGCTACTTTCATATGATTAAAGTGTTCCTTGTATGCATATTATACTTACTATGTTCCTGTATAATGTGTCAGCATTTCAAATCCTCCTGTTGGGAAGGCTGATGTGATTCAGAACTCAGTTTTCTTTGGTCTTTCAATGTATCCTACCACACTTGCAGCTCTTAAGAGGGTGGTATTCCCCATTTTTACAAACTTTGCTATATTTAGTCTTACAAATTTTGCTATATTTAGTCTTAGAGCTGTCACCTTAAGCATCTCTTTAAATCTTGTGTTTGAAGAGAGAAAGTCTTCAAAGAAACAAACTGCCTGCAGTAGGGTTTTAGATGCTCTGGACTTCTGCTATCAGGACAAATGTTCACATCTTATTTGAATTTCAGAAGTAACTTTTTAGCACACTGAGTGCTTGGCAAGATAGCTTTAAAGTCAGTGGTTTCTTTATGTCACTGACATAAATTTGAAGTGGAAGAATGGAGAAAAGGTTGTTTCTTGCTCAGCAACCAAATGATGTGTGCATTAATAAAATAAAAAAAGTTCCAATTTGCTGATTTGCAATACCAAGTAGGCCACCCAACCTGCTGTAACAGTTCCAGCACCAAGTAATGGCACCTGTTTTAGCAAGTAAAAAATGATCTGTGGAGCAGTTGGCCATTCTTAAGGCCATAATATGGAAAAGATTACTAATCTTAGATATAATGATTTGTAAGGCTTGATCATATTGGTTGCTTACAACTTTAGCTTTCTCCGTGGTTGCTCACTCCACTCAGCTTCCAGCAGTAGCAATTTGAAGGCAAGTGGGACTGACATACTGAAGCTCAGTCTATGCTATGATCAACATCATACCTTTGCACCTGAGCCAGTGTGACCATTTGTAACAGTCAAATTGGCAGAGTGAGACAATGCAGACAGCTCCACTGAAACCCGTTTTTCTGTCTTCTCTGTAATCAGCCTGAGCTTTCCAGGTGGAAAGCGAACCTCTGCAGGCTCCAGAGTATTTCCAAGTATGGGAACTGGAGTGGTGAACAGAGCTCTGTGTAGATAAAATATTCTTGAAGATAGTAATAACAAAAATGTATTAAAATAGGAATTAGCCAATATTACTGTGAACGAAGTTCTTAGTCCTGCAACATAAGTCTAAGTGGTGGGAGGGCAGAAGGAAGTGGTAACCCACTTGTTTTTACCGAAGTTTAAATTAGGCTTAAAAGTTTAACCACAGGAAAAATTTACACAGAAAATTGGGTATGTTCCTACTTTTAATTTCCTGTAATGGAGCCCATTTCTAGAGGTCTTGGACTGCTCCAGGAGGAACTTCTGTTGATGATGTCTGGGAAGATGCATCTCTGGACAAGGCTTTTATTTCCTATTTCTGAGAAGTAGCTCCATTTTGGAAAGATACGCTGGAGTTACAGCTGAAACTCTCCCTCTGGTTATTTTGTTCAAGAAACTCTTTACCATACACAAGAACAAACAAAACCCAAACAAACAAAAACTCTGTAAGCAAGATATACAGATCTTAGGAGTATTTAGCAATTGTTTATCAGCTACCATGACTAGAACTTAGAATTCACATGTTAAGCTTTAACACTCTGACACCCATGATGAGATAACAGATGAGTCAGGTAAGGAAGTTATTGATCTTTGGTGTTCCTTGGAACAGGATGATTCTTAGTGGTTTTGCGTTGTCTTTTCAACTCTAAACTTTGTTGAATTAGGTAGTTCCTTTGAGTCCCACTCCTAAACTACTTTAGTTCTTTGGAGTTCTGGAGGGAGTTTCTGAAGATTTTCCTTAATTGTCATTCTTAGAATTAAATTAACAAGTATGTCTTTGCAACAAGAGAACTGTATTCTAGAGGTTATATGAGTTATTCTCACTCATGGCAGCAGTTCAGAATACTCACTTGACTGCTCAAATTCAAATTTGGAAAGATGGAGGCCACGTTTTCTGTGATACTGTATTTTTCCGAAATAACTTCAATTTGCTAATTTTCAGGGCATATAACAAATTCTGTTGCTAACTTCAGGTTCTATTTAACGTTAACTTTTTATTTAGGTAAAGAAGATAGAACCAGAATTCCTTCTTCCCAACTGCTGCTAGTGCATTCTGGCAAATACAAATGTACAGTAGAAATACTCCTTAATAACTCTGTCTACAGTCTATCCAATAGGAAATCACACTGACCCTCCCTTTGTGCAAGCTCCTTTTGTTATGCCAGTACAAGGTGATTCTGTGTTCTACCTTAGAGTGTCCAATTATTTTCTTAAGTCTGCTTCATTGGCTTGCTACAGAGCAGAGGTCTTTAATATCACGATCTCCGAAGTGGTGAGTATAATTTGCCTGTAATAGAATTACAACTATCAGTATCATGGATGGATAGAAAAGGAGATTAATACATTAAAGGCTGACCAGGGAAGTGATGGAGTTATGCTTGGAGGTGTTCAAGGAACACGTAGATGTGGCACCTGTTGACATGGTTTAATGGGCATGGTGACGATGGGTTGATGGTGGGACTAGGTGGTCTTTTCCAACCTTAATGGTGCTATGATTCTTAGTCCCTGAGGTGGCTATGGGAGGTTCTTCATGGATGCTGATTAGCAGAACTGAGCTTTCTGTAGCCTGTGGCAGGAACCAATGAACAGGAAACTACATGTTTTTCCATGTAGTTTTTAAAATAAAAATGTAAGCTTTTGACTTCTTGACAGCTTTTTATTACTATACCTTTATTTTGATCATATAACCATTAAGAAAAATGTTACTTTTATGCCTTCCCTTCTTTGAAAAAAGTAGTGAAAAAGCCAATATATTAATTTATATCATAAAACACTGAAACCACTTGGAACTACAAGCTTCCTCTGTTCTCACAACTTCTAGCTATAATACTTTCCCATTTGTGTGGTTTACCGACAAACATGCATCCAGCAGGACTGTGCATGTGTAGAGAGGAGAGCTGGCAACCAGAATATTCTGTGTAGAGAAATACCTCTCTCTGTTTGTGTGGAAGAACTGATGGGACATGCTATCAAAAGTAAAACTGGGAAATTACAGTATCTTTAAACAGAAATATAATCTACCTGCTGAAGTGACAGCACTTGGGTACAGGTAGCAATGTAAATGTGGCAGTGTGCAGTATCACCTAGCTAGCAGATCTTGTGCCTCAGCCTTCTTGGATCAAAAATATGCCCCTAATAAGTCCACTGAACTATTTGCAAGCTGTTTTCTGAAGTCAGCGTATGGAAAAAATTGCAAGTCTTGTGTTGAAAAACCTTTTTTCTTTCTTCTGATGGGCTGAAGGAGGAGACCCTGCCAGTCTATATAAAACTGGCTTTCACAACATTCAAATAGCTGGCAGGGTGTGGTAAGTACTAATAAAAGTAAAAAAGGAAAGACTTTAATTAAAGTAAGAGTTCTACTAATTGTGTTTGAGACTACACAGGGGGAGCCCAGCACTGGATATATTTTTCAAACTGTTGGAAGAAAAAAAAATTAATTACAGTCCCAGTCACGAGTTGAGGTCATTTATTTAAAGGGAAACAGCGCTATGGTGCTTCATAATTTATATGACTGGGTATGCTTTACATAGCTGGACTTGTAATGTGATATTTACTTTTATGCTAAACATTATTTTATTCTTAAAAGAAAACCATACTCTAGAGGTAAAATTAAAGTTCTGTTATGGGAGCTGGTGGCACTACTCTCCAAAAGCAAGCAGTCTGATTGCTTTTGCTGCTGTGCATCTTGGTGGCATATTGGAAATCTTTCAGCTCAGTTATATGGGTGTTGGATATTAGCTCCTTTCCCATTACTGCATTTCTGAAACAGAAAAGCAAAATGTCATTTGCTGGAGTGATACAACTTGTAGACTGCTTTGAGATGCTTTTGTGCAGCGCTGGCAAATTCCTCCTCTAACAATGACAGCAAGTAGAGATTGAATCTGACCTTGTCTGTAGGCTAATAATCTTTGCCTCTCTTTTCTTCTAGGTCTCCTTCCTTGGGAGCTCAATTACAATGTAGATGGAAGAAGCCTTGTTCAAGTCCAACCATTTTGTTTGTTTTCATGTTCTGCAACTGCACAGCTTGGACAACACCACCAGTTCAAGTAAGTCAGCGCTGTATTTTTGCAGTAAGGCTCAAAGCTGAGATATTCTTGATGATTTTTGAAGAACAGTCATTGGGGAAATCATTCACTGGCCTATCATTTGGAATAACAATATGTAGGGAGAATTTCAACTGGTCCCAAAGTGCTTGAGATTCACTGACTTGACATGATTTGGTTCAGAAGGGTTACTGATGCAGCTTAATATTCTGTAAAATTTCAATAGCATGTACTAGTTGTATGTATCTCTTCCTATGGATCCAGACAAGGTACAAAGAGACAGGCTCTGTAGTTGTAATGTCAAGGTATAAAGCTATTATTTTGGAAATTATACTTGAAGCATACTGAAGAGAGGTCACAGTCATCTATGAACTGTTGTTTTAGTTGATGGCTAATTGTATGTTATTCTAATTGACTTTTCTAGAGGCAATATATATTGTCTGTTCATTAGAACTTGAGAATTGGAAAAGCTTCCAAATGGATTTGCTTCTCAGAAGCATCAGAAAAATGCAGGGAATTCAATGCTTCAAGAAGAACACCTACATCTTGTTACTGTTGGCTGTCATTACAGTTTACTGAAGTCCTTCCTTAGAAATGAAGTGGCTAAACAATCACTAGCTGATCATTCTGTTGGTATATCTCAGACTATGTTATGAAGATGCATTGATTTAGGAAAAATGGCAAGCTTACAGGTACTTTGCCAATAAGTGTAAAAGGTTTTTGTTTGTTTTAATTAAAAATACACAAAATAAACCATTTTGTGAGCACGGGGTGTATTTCTGCCCTGATCTGCACCAAGTGATCCAGTCCATCTCTTCAATCTGTGAATAAGGTGTGTGCCGTGGAGCAAACTGAATCAATATACCATGACATTATAATGAATTGAAAAGTGAAGTCAGTCTGCTTGCAAACTCAAACCAGCAGGAGCTGTGTATGGTTCATTGACAAACAATTATCTAACTTAGCCAAGGCACTTACGAGATTGCAGCATGGCATATAGGGGTTCTGCACTGGAAGTAAAATTTATAAAGAAGCAAAGCTTTGAGCGGGCAAAACTGCTACCAGTGTACATGCTGGGAAAGCTCTCTGAAAGTATTGTGTATGTAATGATGTGCTCGTATTCTCTTCAAGTCCGGGACAAAAAGGAAGGGGATATACTTATCTTGAATGGAGCCACTTGGCTGCATGCTTGTGGTGTGGTCTAGCATGGTACTTCTCACTGTCAGTAGAAAATCTCCCTGAGTCTGTGTCTCTTTCCTCTTTCACACATATAATCATCTGCTTCTGTTTATTGTTCTTCTGGTGTTGTATTTCCTAGGCTTAATTAACAGCAGACGTTGTGGGGCAGGCATTCAACAGAAGTAACAAACAGAGCTGTATTGAACTGTCAACTCAAAACAAGAGGAGGTGTCCAAGCCTCTAGAAGTGAGAAGCAATTTGTCCAACGATTCAGCATAACACAGATTTCTGATGTTTTTATTTGTCTTCCTAAGGACCTGTTTCTTCCATGAGTGAAACTAACATTGAAGATATAGTATTTTATTTTTTTTTCCATTTAGGTAGATCAGGCGTTGTGTTGTTTTTCTCCTGCAACATAAATGTGCTGTACTCTTTGAGAAACTGCTTAACTTTGATGGCTGAGACTTGTGTTTGAGAAAGCAGTACTCACGATAAATCATACTGACTTGCATTGGTATCATCAAATAAGATGGACATTAAGGAGACTCTGAGAATCCAGGGTGCGTCTGAATTGGAGAGACTTGAGAGAATCAATACCGAATTCACCAGTGATTTTTTTTTTTTTTTTGTCACCAGTATTTTTGTTCTTCTCTATGTATATCTCTGTCCTCTGTATAACAGCATAAGTCTGACTTCTGAGTCAGATAAGTAGATCAATCCTTAAATGCACCATGCTGTACATAGCAATAGCATGTGAGAAAGTGCTGTATGTGGAGAAAAAAACAGACTTCAAAGATCTTAGAATGGCTTGGATTAGAAAAGACCTTAAAGATATCTAGTTTCTTAGTAAATTTTGGAACTTATTTGGTGTTGGGTTTCCATCTTTGAATTTTGGTGGAACGTGGAGGAGAAGTGTGAAAATTCTGTAAGCGTTAGAAAACGGATAAATGTATAACTACTTATTTGTTCAGGCTTTTTAGCCTTTGTTTCAAAAACTGTTGTTTTATGTTCTGGTGAGATGACGTGGGAGCTGTCAGTGGTGGTTCTCCCTGTGCTGGAGATGTCTCACCACCTCTACAGCCATTGGGAATTCCTGTCATCTTCATTAAATTCAGAAATTTGTGTTCAGTGAGCTCAGAGTTGGCAGGGATTCTTTCCAGTGTCTGACTCCCATTACAGCCATGTAAAATTTAGCTCATCTCTGTTCTCTTGATTTGGCATTGCTTTCACATCTTATTGACAAGCTTTTTTTTTCTTTTTTCTTTTTCTTATTTATTTATTTATTTTCATAATTGACTCTTCATTGCTGACAGTCATGTGGGGCTTAAATGTTTTCTGGTAAGGAAATACTCCAGGTAATACAGATGCTGTGGCATCCAGAACAGAAATGGGCATGGAGCTGACAGACATCTCTGTATTTCTTCTGAACTCTGCTGAACAAGCTGAAGGTTGCTGCTTCTTCATCCTTGGTGTAATGAAATCACCAGGTCACAGCCTGAACGAGTGCTTGAGCATCAGGTGAGAAGACATGGCTAACCCAGGGAACTCAGGTGCAAGCAGTGTACCTAAGTGACCAGAAAGGGTAGAGTCAGAATCCACCCCTCCTCACCCTCATTTAAGGGTTGGCAGCTGACGGAATAGCATCAGTCTGGGATAGCTATTTCTCTCCTCTTGAGCTGCTACTGCTTGTTGGAAAGTGTGAGACAATTTTCCTTCTTTATTACCTGCTGTTACTCCATAGTGCCAGTATCCCATTTGAAGGCACAGTTGTTGTCTTCTTTTTGTTGTCGTACTCATGGTATGTTGGATTGGTTCACAGTGTGAATGCAGCGTTAGCTAGAAAGGCTGGTGTTGCAGCTGATATTGAGCCACGCTCAATCTGATGAGTGCTTCCAGAGCTCTGAGATGGGATGAGTTCACTTGCGTGGTTTCTACTTTGGCTAAGGTTTCAGTCTGCTGGGATCATCTTGATGCACTCCTTTTTTCTCTCATGGCAGGGAAGTGCTAGAGGGAGGCTGAAGTTCTCATATAAGAAATCCTCCTCAGGTCCAGTGGGACCTTTGCTACTGAAACCAATTGTGTTGCTTCTGCTGCTGAAATTAGTTATGAGCTGCCTTTGGAGATGGGTAGTTGCTCACAACTGTTCTTGCTATTGAGTTGATGAGCCTGTTGGCACTCAGCTTGGTTTGCAGATCAGATGAGCTGACAGTTTACAAATAAGGGATGGACATGGCACATCTGGCTATTGGGCTTCTTTTTCCTCTTTGGTCCTTCAGGAAACAAATGCTGCCTGGGTAACTTGTGGTTTGCAATTTTCTGAGTATTTAAATCATATAACTAGAACATTCTTACACTGCTTTTAAAGTCTCATGATTGCTAATATAAATGGAAGTGATGTGGGAGCCATACAATACAACACTGTTTGAATACATCTTAATGTTATTTCAGCTGGGAGTGGGATAATGATGGACATGGGGAAAGCACTGAGCTGTTGAAAGTATCAGAGGTGAAGGAGTAAAACCAAAAGAAGTCCAAAGGCACAAGCTATCCTCCTTGATGTTTAAAAGCCTGAATATATTCCTCTTGTAAATGTACAACAGATACAAAATGTGTGATTCAATGTAATGATTTCCTTAAAGTCTGCTGAAAACTAGTTTTGGTAACCAAACAATGGAATTGATAGGTGGCTATGAGAAATGGAATGTTTCCATTGTATGTACTTTGAGGTTGTAGATTCAGCTTATCTTATGTGTAAAAACAAGCCTTCTCTCCAGAATATAGTCACTGAGGCTACATTTACTCATTGACCACTGGATGCCAGTGTTGCTCTGCAAAAACTGGCAGAGGGAAGCTTGGTTTTGTGACTACTGTTGCAATGGCTGCTCTAATATCAGAAGAATTTTATCACTTGTTTTCTAAACCAGAACAGGCAGTAAGAAAAGCATTACATAAACTGTACACTCCATGTTACTTTCTTGAGGAACTGGAGTTGTTGATTTGTATTCTATTTATGTTAACATACAAAATAAGCTGCTATGGCAGACACTGATATCTAATGTAATGAAAATAACATCATCTTTGTGTTTAGTCTCTTTTAAACTATCTTTAATCTATTTTGCTGCTGATCTTTACTACCTTGGAGTAGCTTGGAGAAGGTTCTTTGCTGACTCAATTTATAATCCTGGCAAGGATTGAACAAGAGTGTGGCAATTTAAAGCATCACGTAAAAATGGACAGAAGTCCAGAATGTATAGGACTTATGAATTTGAAGACAGTCTTCTTTTCTTCTGTCTAGGAAATACCATACTTGAATACACAATGGGGAAATAAGTTTATTCACTGCCTTAATTGTGTTAAGGTATTTGCATTTCCAATTTTCTAATGTTTATCAGTTTTAAATGAAGTTTAACTTAGTTTGATGTCAACTGGTCTCTTTTGCCACAAAGATTACTGCACAGAATACTTAAAGGAATGTACCACTGTGTACCTCATGCTGTATGTTCATTCAACAATAAGGTACTGAATCTGGCAAACCTAACTGTCGCATTGAAACACTTGAGTGGGGAAGTATGCTTTCTCTGTTCCATGGCAGTCCTGTATGCCATCCTGTTTGCTGTAGCTAGCATGAAAAATCATTATTTCTCAAAGAAGCAGCCTATGGGCAAGTAATCAGTGGATGAAATGGAAATGATAGTGACTTCATTATTCCTCCTTAGCCTTGTCACACTTTTATTTTGTTCCTAGAAAAAGTATAAGGCTTTCCCTTTAAGCATTCCTCAGAAATAGCTTTAGACTAGAAGTAGCTGGTTTAGGGCTGTGGGACAATCTCTTCAGTTGTATTAGCTGATATGGAAAATTCTTTCATTCATTTCTCCAAAAGATCCTTCTGTTGTAGGGGAAGTGAGAGGTTGTTTAACAGCAGGGCCCATTTGTTGTATTTTAGAGGAAAAGTTATTTTAAAAAATAAAAAATTGTGAGGCACTAGCCTAACTTTCATTAGTTTTATTGTGTTTCAGACCACAGAGTGCTGGCAGGGACTCAGAGCCTCAGCTAACTGGATGGCTCGTTTTCAGTGACCAAAAACACTGTCCTGTTCATTAGCTGGGTACGTGGATTCCTGTTGCTGTTAGTCTTTAATTGTAATGAGCACAACACACAACTCACAGTAGAGTGCTGTAGGGCCCTGAGTATTGTCTCTGCAGGAGGTGTAAGTGCTGAGGTTCAGGGCCAGCTTAGAGATGGTGTGGCTGAAGGCAGACTCCTTACTCTGACTTTGAGAGAGTGCTGCCAGATAGCACTGTGGGTAGGAGGCACAGGGGCTTATGCCTTTATGTTTTTTCTTTGTTTGTTGGTTTTTGTTTGTTTTTTTTTTTTTCTTGGGGGAACTGCTGTTAAGCTGAGGCTCTAGAGCTTTTCCTTACCTGAGTTCTGTGTAGCTCTGGCAGTGTCACACTTGGATATCATAGAATATCCTGAGTTGGAAGGTTTCCACAAGGATCACTGAGTCCAAATCCATGACCAATGAAGCATACACTGGAGAATACAAATGTTCTTGTTTATTTTTTTATTTATTCAGCCTATGTTTAAAATGACTGTAATAAACAAACATGACTTTGAGTGAGTCTTTTAGATCCTGTTGTATTGTTTATCCTTGAGAGAAGGAAATCAGAAAAAATATAATTGGGCAGCAAGATCATGGTGTTTGCACCAAAGGGATACACAGACTTAGTACTGGATTTGTCTCAGTGAAAAAGCATGAGGAGAGTGAGGCAAACTGCTTCTGCTCCACTGAGGAAGCAAGGAAAGCAAAATACTGCTATTTTTCTTTTTTCTTTCAGCTCTCATGGGGACTGTACAGGAGCTGTTAATGAATGGATGCCCAATGCCTGCAGGTGCAGGGTCCTGGACCAGGTGCTAGAGGCTAAATGTGATAAAAGCTGTAGTGAAGGAGGTAGAAGAGATGGCGTACAGAAGGGGTGAAAAGAAAGGGGGGTGAGGGGATAAACATCTCTGAATAGGAACAGCCCAACATAACTTGAATGCTGATTGACAACATGTGAAAACAACACCAATTCTAGCTTTACAATTGCTAGAAATAGTCCCATATGCTCAGAGAAGGTCTATCAGCGAAGAAAAGGATATATTATGAGGAAAACAGTTTCTCTTTTGATTTTTCCTTTCCCACATTGCTGTAAAACAACTATATGTTACTGTTGTTTTACTAACTCTCTGTAGTAATTAAAATTCAACCAGCATAGCTTTCAATCCTGTTCACTCTGTCCTAGCACAGATGATCCAGGTTTCGTTTCACCTGTCCTGCAAAATAAAAACTTTGTGTAGAGGTGGTTCAGATTTTCACTGTAGTCAGATGAAATGGTTGGTTTTCCTTTAAGAAGACAAATAGCTCCTCCTTATTTTGATTTAAAGTTCTGTCTCTTTCAGAAATCACAGCTGAGATTGCTTTATTTACACTTAATTTCTAATTATTTTGTTCTTTTAAAAGAAATAAAGTGAACTATGTAACAGAAACCAGCTGAATGGGGTACATTGATAGATTTTTTTTTTTTTTTTTTTTTCCTGGTTAATTATCAGGTAATGTGAATCTTTTAAAGGTATAGTAGGGAACTTAGTTGTTTTTACTGAATGGAATATCCTCCTTCCATCCTCAGAAGTACTGTTTCAGTCCATGATGTGCTGATTCCTTCAGAGTAACAAGTGACAAGAGATGTACTGTGGGAACAGTCCTGCTGAGGGGAAAAAAACTTTGTCAGCCTTAAACTGTGTTCTTCCTTTGTGGAATTCATGGCCTCAGCATTTTGTTGTTCTATTCAGATATGTACTTAAGATACAGAGTTGGGGGAATTATATAAAATTAAACTTCCAGAAACAGATGAAATAGCTGAAGTGTACTTTCCCCTCTTCTTGTCAAATATAGTGATGCAAGCTTTGAACCATTAATTTTTCTAAATGGTTCTATTAAAATAGAAACTAAAATTATATACAGTGAGATACTGCTCTGTGAGAGCTGTTTTGTTGTAGAAGAGTTTTCTTAGTCTAGTGTGAAATTGAATCTTTAATAGGAACAGACTCATTTTTCAGCTCTCTGTTTTTAATTTGATAATGTTACTAAGATTAATATCTTGGTGAGCAGTCACAAGTGACTGCTGCAACTGGATTTACTCCAGCATGCACAAACACCTTGGTAGGATCTGGGATTCTAAGTGTTAATCCAAGTGCGCTTCTCATGGCTGGCAATCCTGTTTCTTGCAAGAAGAAATTGGTCTTTCTTAAGCCAGTGATGTGTTAAGCCTCCTCTTGTGCACTCTTGTCCTAAAATCACCTTTAGTACACTCTTCTTCAGGATTTTGTTTCCTCTGGGAACTCTCTGAAAAACTACATAAAAAGCAGAGTCTTTGTATGGAGGCAAATATGCTTTGGAAATAGACTTGTCATGCTGAGGAGTAAAGGAATGGCATGGTTTTGCTCACTTGAATATGCATCTGCTGTCCTTCAAACATCATATTTCTAATGAGATTATTAGAAACCATTACTATATTGGTGGTAGTATATAGTTAACTTAGAATCCTCACATCAGTCCTCCAAAGCATGCGAGTCATGATAGAGATATTTGTGTTCAGTTTTGGAAACTGCTAAATACTCTTATAAAAACATGTCACAAAGTGTCAGCTAAGGAAAATGTACGTTATACAGAACTCAGTCTTTCTCAGAGGCATGAGTGGAAGATGGCTGTTCCAGTTTAGGTGTCTGCCTTTCCACTGGAAACCGTATGGATGAGGATACGTGCAAAACTTTGGGGAAGAATGCTCTCCCTCCTTATGCATCATATTTCTTAGTTGGTTTAATTCTCAGAGAATTATTCTTTTAGTGTGCTTAGTTAAATGTTTCAAACTTGATTCAGATTCAGTTTCCATTCTAACATCTTTATTAGCAAAGGGATTCTAAAATAACAGTTGAATAGAATAACCTGGTGCTCTTCCACATTTCTTTGACAGTTAGCCTTAAAACTAACTTTGCAGCCCACCCTTCAGCAATTACTCTTTGGAAGGCAGAAAGTTTGGTGCAAGCCTACTCTGCTCTTTTTTTTTTTTCTGTCTTTCAGTTCAATAAGATCTGCATCCATTGGCTGGTATTTTGGAGACGCACAAATAGGTTTTTTTAGGAACAATAAACAATGGGCTGTGTTTTTTCTTACACTATATGAATTTAATTGCAAATGTTTTCCAGACAGTACCATTGCTAATTCAGCAAGGCACGTGTGCAGGTTGCAAAGCTCTTGTAAAAGAAGAATGATAGGGATTTCGTATTTCTGTAGAAGGAAACAGAAAAAACCTCTGCAACTGGCTCATTTTACTCTGCTCTTATAAAACTGTATAGAGTTTATGGAAGCACTGGTATTTATCTATGCATTCATTCTTTAAGGACAAGAATGGATCTTAATCCACTGGGGACTTTGCTTGTAAGAGTTGTGAATCCTCTGGCCTTCCTGCTGCATATGGCTGTCTGTAGTAACAGGCAACTTTCACTTCTGAGTTCCAAGACAGATGGGCAATTGCTGGGTGACTGCTTTTTCACTAAGTAGCTGCTTAACAAATGCTAGTGCAGTAATGCAGTTATTGCAAAATGTTCTAGATTAAAAGAAAAAAGACCATTTTGCTTTTTCATCCCAAGAAGCAATTAAGTGATCTTCCTTACATAAAAGTACAAGAAAACCTACTGTTTTCTGAGAGGTTAGTGTCCAAACTTTCATGCATAAACATTATTAACATTAATCTTACTTCTTAAAGAGTGACATAGGTTTGCATGTCAAAGAGTCCATTGGTAAAAGTAAAATCCGTTCCGTTATTTAAGTGGCCTAATCAGACTGTGCCTTCTGGCTTGAAAATAGTGCAGTGTTTTGCTTTTGGAGGAGTCCTTTTTCCTTTTCCTTTTTTTTCTTCTTTTCTGAAAAGTTCTTGAATCTTTAAGGCAATAAAGGCAATTAAATAAAGGCAAACAGCTGACAGGTTTTTTGTTGTTGTTGTTTTTCCATCAAAGCACACAGAAATGTAGCTATCTGCCTTTCTGTGGATCATAAGGGTAAGGAGGGGAAAGCTATGCTAAATATGTGAGGAATGATGAAGTAGGGCAAGCTATGCTCTGATTTTCAGTATCAGTAGCATGACTCATCTATCACTATTGCAGTTTGCAGCTGGAGATATTGCAGGTCTCTGATGTGAATTCTAGTGGAAGATGGAAACATCATGATGAGTTGTTTGGCTAGTGTAGTAATGAGGCCTCAGCTGCTTCTTCAGGATATATATGCTTCTCTGTTGCTATAAGAAAACGAGGACAGTTTTAAGCAAGAAGTTGAATGACTTCTGACTTGGAAATGACAAATGACCTGCACTTTTATTTTTAGTTAGGTTTGTGGGTTGGCTTTTCTTGTAGGTTACCAGGAATGCCGTGTACAGTGCAACCTTCTTCACGTTTTCCTGAGTGTGTCCTTCAGCCCACCTAAAGGCAGTATCTGATTTTAAAAAGAAAGGATTGAAGCATTACTCTCCTCCTCCATTGAAATGCTCACCAGTGGTTTGAATAATACTCCAGCATTCATTTCTTCCTTGCCATTCCATTCTCTTCTGCCTGTACTGCTGCTTGATTGATTTTCTTCCTGCCACTTCTTCTTTCCTAAGCATCTCCTTATTCTTTAGTTTGTTACACACCCTGAATATTTAAGTTCCCATTTTGAATATCATCCTCTCCTAGTTTCAGCAGGCCCTGTATCCCAGCAGCTCTTGCTATCAATTTTCTGGATATGGCGGAAAAAGAGCCCCGATCTTGTTAGCACCGGAGCTAGGAAGTGGTGTTACCACAAGACAAGTGAGTGAAGCCCACTTCTCATGGAAGAGCAGGTTGATGGAGGCATGGCTGCCTTTTATCCCCAACCACTATAGCATGTAGCAGCTTCACTGCTATGCAGTATGGGTTTTTTAGGTTATGTGATATATGGGTTTAGTGGAGAGTGAGTCTAAATGGAAAGAGTTCTCGGAAGCACTTCAAAATAAGTTAAAGGTTTTCTAAAAGTTTATAAATTCCTTCCCTGAAATTCAGAGAGTTAACATTTTAGTTACAGTTTGCATAGTGTGTGTTCAGTTTTGGTAGCTGTATTACCAAGAAAACAGCTGTACTGCTTTTTCAGGGAACCTTTCCGCTGTTAAGCTATTGTGATTGCTGTCTGTACCAGCTCTCTCAGCTGGGGGTTCTTATGACTTTATAATGATTCTGATTAAGATTTAACACATTAGCATTGCCTATGGGAGGCATCTATGGGAGAAGCTATTAATGCTGCTTCAGAGCATCACAGAATCCCACAGTAAGAGATTTCAATTGACATAACTTCAGCACACCGTTTTTTTTTCTTAACCTTTTGAATACTAGAGAAAGATGGCTGGTGAAGCTTTTGTCAATGTAAACACAGGCAATGTATATTAGGATGACCTCCTTCACAAAGTACAAGTGGAGAAGAGAAAGAATTTCTTTTTTGTCTTGAACTAATGTAAAGTACATATTTCTGCATTGAGCAGTTTGCTGTCTTTCAACCCAGCCTCTCCTTCAGTCTAGCACTTGCATGACTAAGAGTATCCGCTTTTCCTTTCCCCAAAGCTTCACAGCTTAACCACAGAAAGCTTTTGAAGAGTATGAAGTTCTCAAGTTTGTTATAGCTACTAGTGATAAATTATATTCCCTATAATGACTCAGAGGGAAGGAGGTTAGGATAATTACCTGTCTACCATGGGTAGTGTCCTTGGAACAGGCTCAGCTGAAGGAAGAACTTTAGCTTAGGAAGTTGAACAGAAGATCAGGTGGCAAACTTGACAAGGAACCAAGTTTTCTCTTTGAATGACACTACTTTCCCTTGACTGATTCATTTTAGACATTTTTCTAGCTGTTCTGTTGGTGTTAGAGCAACGCTCTTCTTTTAGAAAGCTTTTAGTTGTATTTATCTTGGCCTTGGTTTGAGATCAGGTTTACAAAAACAATAATCTTGCTTGTTTTTTACAATGGTTATAAATACAGAATCAACTACTCATAAATCTAAATTAGGCTGTAAAATACAACCTGATAGTTAAAATAATGGAAGGGATTTTCTAGTTTAAGCATGTGGTCTTTGTTACACATGTGCTTACATCTCCTGCTCTTCAAAAAAAGCTCAGCTTGAGCTGTTGTGAATATTTCAGGTCAATAATCCCACTCTTTTGTGTCAGGTACCCTGTGTGATACACTGCAAAAAGCCATTTCCCTAGTAGTTACTTTGGAGCTGTAGGCTCATGAGGAAGGCCCCAAGGGTGATATAATGACTGCTGACAGAACAGGTTATTAACACTTTCTGAAGCTTGGTGATGGGTTAATGCATGCCAGAAGGTGAAGATGCCTACAACCTGACATGGGAATCCTGTGATGACACATGTCCTTCCTACTCTTTCCCTGTCCTGCTGTGGGATGCTGAGCTGCCTACCAGCATTAACCTGCAGCAGGAGCCAACCTTTCATCCATCAAACAGCAGTGACAGCTTTTGTAGCAGCCTTGATTAACACTTAGCAAGAAGGATGTGTTGTGGACAGAGTTTGAAATCTTCTGGGTAAGCAGAAACATTGGGGTGCATTCAGCTCTAGATGGAGGGGCCCAAATAATGTCTCCTCTTGCTTGCCCCAGTCAGGCTCTCCCCTCCTTGCTGCCACCCTGATTCCAAATGCCTTTGATTTTCTGATACACAGTGGCAAGAGGATGTGTGAAGCCTGATGGCTTGTGTTTTGTTTTTGCAAACAAGTGTGTTAAATCTCTCTGTTTTGAGGGAATTGAGCTCAATTCCCCCATCCCCTGGTGTATCCTGTGCCCCACATTGTTTTGGCAAGAGCTACATCCCTTTGGGGTCATATTCCAAGGAAAGGGAGGAAATAAACCTGTTGCTAGAGATTTCCAGCACAGAAAGGTGTTTGGATGCATGAACGTATCCAGAGATTCCTGCATTTTTGAATGTAAACCATCCAACTAAAGTGTGCAGCAAACTGACCAATTCTCTGACTTCCCTTCTGTGTGTTGTTTGCTGTGCTTTTTTTTTTTTTTTTTCCCCTGAGATATGATTGTTTTCCTGCTCTTTAGCTGTTTCAGAGGCATGATGTTAAACAGTAAAAATAATGCTAAATCCCTCACCTTTTCCATTTTCTGCCTTACAGATAATATTTGCTATATATAATATTATTACAATATTATTGCTATATATAATATTTGCTATATAATATTACTGATAATATTTGCAGACATTACTATTGCATAAAATGTGTTTTTCCATTTCATAGAAATATGCATCTGCTGTGCATGTCCCCAGTCATGCCACAACGGACTAAAGCACATCTTGCTCATCTGGAAACTTAGTAAACTTGGGTCGCTTTTTGTTGTTGTGTTTTGGGTATGCACCTGCTATTTTATGTATATCTCATAAAAATAATGTTAGTGTCCATTAACTTACTGCTGCTACAGAATATTTAAACTTGCTGTCTTTCATGTAATGTGCAGCACTAGAGCTTGGCAATAGACACACAGCAGATAATGCACACAATAGTTAGAAAATGCCTCTAACCCTGGAACTGATTCTTCTGCCACTTTTTGCAAACTTCCTCTAGTTCTGCTTGCCCACCCTCATGTTCAAATATGCATTTGGGAGTTCAACTGCAGGACCTGGGCTAATGTCTGCTTTATTTTATATACGCATACATACACATGCACACAGAACAAAGAGTACCTTGGTGAAAAATGTTTAACAGTTTAAAATGTGATTTAAATTTCGTTGCTTTCTATTTGGTGTATGTTCCATCCCTACTTGTATGAGCAAAATTTTCAGACACTTCCACATGCAGGTAAATTTGGAATTTATGGTTACTGAATCTATTTAACAAATACTGTTATATACCAATGAAGAAAATTGCCATAAATATGTGATAAATTAAAAAGGAATTCAAATGGCCAAAACTGAAGACTATGAGAATTCCTGACCCATCCCCAGAACTGGATCTCGTCAGTGCTTGCTGGAACAATTTGGCAGCAAACTACTGCTTTCAGGTAACTTTCCAGCCCTCGGACAGCTGTGTGCTCTCTTCATCCAAACCCATGAAAAAGACTTGTAATTCACTGGCAGGCTTGTTAAATTGTTCACACGTGTTACTTTGGCTATTTGAAAGCTTATATTTGGACACGCTATTAGCTTAAGTGACAACACAGTCTATGATGCCCAGCATTTCCCATTTGCACTGTATTTTCTGTAACTTTTTGCTAGCCTTGAACAGTTCAAACTGAATTTTTCTGTTTTGGATATCTATCTCAAGTGGACGGACGTGGGTAGGAAAAGGGGCTGAAACTTCTTTGAAGACTAAACAACATCAGAGAACAAAGAGAAAAGATATCAGCTTCTTTCTTGTAGCTTAGTAGCCTTGTGCTTTGAAGAGATGACTTGATGTTTAACAGGAAGCTACTTTCATATTAAATGTCCTCTTGTTAAGATATAGAGGGTAAAAAACATCCAAAAGGGGTTAAGAAGTCCTTTAAAATCCTATTAAATTGCAACTGAATCAAGAACGGATACTTGCAAAAGTTAAGTGATGTTAGTTGAGTTGGATACCCTGGTAGTAGGGGGTGCTGAGAAGGTGAAGAATCTGAATGTCTTTTTTGCTTCAGTCTTTATTACTAAAGCTAGCCCTCAGGAGTCCCAGACCCTGAAGGTAAGAGAGAGTCAGGGGAAAGGAAGATTTCTCATTGGTTGAGTAGGATCTGGTCAGAGAGCATCTAGCCAAAATCTACTTGTGCAAATTCACGAGCTGCAATGGGATTCACATACGTGTGCTGAAGGAGATGGCACAGGTGATTGCTGAACCTCTCTCTCATCTTTGAAAGGTCTTGGCGAACAGGAGAGGTGCCTGAATACTGGAGGATAGCCAGTGTCACTCCGGTCTTCAGAAAGGGCAAGAAGGAGGATGTGGGATATTTCAGGCCAGTCAGCCTTGCCTGTATCCCTGGAAAGGTGATGAGACAGCCTGTTCTGGGTACCCTCTCCAAGCAACTGGAAGAGAAGGTTATCAGGAGTAGTTCAGCGTGGGTTCACCAAGGGGAAACTATGCTTGACCAACCTGGTAGCCTTACATCACTTGCTGGATAGACTTGGGGGGGGAGCAGTGGATATTGTGTACCTTGACTTCAGCAAGGCATTTGACACCATCTCTCATAACATCCTTGTTATGAAACTTAGAAAATGTGGGATAGATGAGTGGACAGTGAGGTGGGTTGGGAAATGCCTGACTGGCAGAGCTCAGAGGGCTGTCATCATTGACTCAGAGACCTGTAACTAGCTGTTTTCCACAGGGGTCAGTGCCATTCCAGCGTTATTCAAAATCTTTATCAACAACCTGGATGAAGGGATAGAGTCTACTCTCAGCAAGTTCGCTGATGATACAAGGCTTGTATTTATAAATGTATGTTTATTGCAGAAATGTAAGTGTATATATTGTATCAGAGCAGACAGAGAAATTAAAATATATATAAATGCTGTATACGTTTGCCTCTGAAATTACTGTGTTAAACTCAGAATAAGATTCAACTGCAGGTTTAATTTATTTTGAAAATAAAAGTTGAACAAATGTAATAGTTGCTGGTAGAGGATTTCAATCAATTGCCAAATGATCCCAGCACAGATGCTTTTAATGATGACAAAATGAGCGCTCCATTAATTATAACACACTCTTTTGTCCTCTGTAAACAGGCTGTATTCACAGTATTCCCACTGCTTCACATTGTCATGCATGTACACTGGTCATTAAAGTTTAGAAGCAAGC